CATTGCCTCTGACACACCCATCCCGAATGCCCCAGTCACTGAATCAATCCACCTCATAGAGGGTCTTCCCCTCCTGCGCTGTCCCTCTACTCTACCCAGCATGATGTCCCTCTCTAAAGGCCTGTCTCTCCCATCTCAAAACTACCCCAGGACTTTTGTATTTGCTCTTCCTATTGCCTGAGTTCAGCTGACTTTAAGTCTCTCCCAAGATCCTAGGTGGACACGACCTTTCAAGGTTTAAACAAGCCGGCACGCCCAAATGCTGGCAAAGTCCTTCCGCCAGACCCCCAGTTCATCGGGCATGTCCACTCTGCCGACCCCCACGTGGGGTTACCGTACAGCGGTAACTTGCGATTGCTGTGAGGCTGAACACTGTGACACTGATGTGTCAAATGCATTAATGGCTGGTTACCCAATGAGGACAGAGAGTGGGGTGGAGCTCCCCGATTAAAATAAGCGTGGAAGCAGGAGTGGCATCCACTTCCATAATAGCTTGCCTCCAGAAACCCTATGAACCTGGAGAGAGGATGCGAGACACTCAAGCGTTGAGGACTCGCCTTCATAGGGTCGCTATGAGTCGCCTGCGACTCAATGGCACTTAACAACAACATTGCCTGAGTTATCCAGCTTTCAGTCAGCGCTGGTCTTCGTAAAGTCCCTGCTTGCAATCTGATGGAACATTTCTATTTAACTGAGTGGCCACACAACTAATTGGATTAAAATAAATTCTAAATTTTAACAAATTATATTTTAAAACCACAAAGTTCCCCCTTGTTTTTAATTGTATAAGTTGAGGACAATGACTAGGGAGGCTAGAAGGAGAATTGATGCCTTTGAGCAGTGGTGTTGGAGAAGAGTATTAAATATACCATGGACTGCTAAGAAAACAAATAGGTTCATCCTAGAGAGGGTTAAACCAGGCTGCTCCTTGGAGGCAAGGATTCTGAGGCTTTGTCTGACATACTTTGGACATATTGCAAGGAAGGACCAGTCCTTAGAGAGGGACATCATGCTTGGGAGGGTAGAGGACAGTGCAAGAGAGGAAGGCCCTCTATGAGGTGGATTGATTCAGTGACTGGGATAATCAGGGTGAGTGTGTCATTGATAGTGAGGTTGGCACAGGACAGAGCAGGGTTTAGGACTGTTGTACACAGTAGGTCACTGTGAGTCTCAGGCAACTCGATGGCACATAACAACAACAACAAAGTTGAAGCTACAGCTGCACTGTCTATCACATCCTCCTATATTTTATTGCATCACTATTCAATTTTTTTTGTTTTGCCTGTTTATTATGTCTACCGTTGGGTATACTGTGAGCTTTGTGGGGGCAGACTTCTTGTCACTCCTATATTCCACAAGCACCTGGAACACACTAGGATAACAATGGTGAATGGATGTATTAAAGGGGGAACGTCAGGTGTTCAGAGCGTTTTGTCAGAGACCATCAAGACAAATGTCCACTAGGAAGGATACAGAAGAGAGAGAAAGGGAAACCAAGTGAAATGGCTAGCCCATCCTGGCCTCCTGGGGCCTGATGGGAGACAGAAGGTCAGAGAAGAACTGCTCAGAGGTTTTAGGAGGAGAGCTTAAACCACAGGTACCCTTTTCCTTAAGGGTACCTTTTCCATCTCTATTACAACCTATGAGGAAAGCGGCATTGAAGTTAGCTTTCTGTTTTTCAGGCCTGCAAACTGTGACTCTGAAAGCTGGTCCAAGTTACTGCCTGGAAGCTGCAGGACGGAAGTGACGGAGTTGAACTGAGAGCACAGCTTTCCACTCTCCCAGGTGTTACCTCCCACACCAATTTCTGGGTAGAGACCGTCAGAATCTTGAGGCTTTTCCTCCTCTCTTTTATCCTCCCCCCCCCCATCCAACTACTTCTCTAGATCCAAGAATTCTACCTCTTAATACCCATCTGGAATCCTCAGGTTGTGCAATCATTCATTAACTCAAAGGATAACCTAAAAGTTAGAGGTTTAAATCCACCCAGAAACACCTGAAAGGCAAGCCTAGAGATCATTTCCTAAAAGCACAGCATTAAAAAACTTAGGGAGTTCAGTTCTACAATGTCATCAGGTACTGGGATTGATTCAATGGCAACCAATAACTCCCTCCAAATCTCACCATCACACTATGACCGCTTCTCCACTGAGGGTCCCCGTCACCTTTCACTGTAGTTGCCTTCTACCTTGTCACTCCACTTGCAGTGTCTCTCCAGATGCAAACTTTTCACCAGCTGCCAGATCTCTTTCTAAGATCCAAGTCTGCTAACCTCACTCCCTTGCCCAATAAAACGCCTCTGAGAGGAACCAGCCAAAACATCAGCATTATTTAACCAACCCAGGGTTTGAGATAATTTTCTTTCATCTTTATCTTTTTCTCTAGCTTCTGACATGGACTGCCAAGAAAACAAACAGATACATCTTGGAGAGGATTAAACCAAGCTACTCCTTGGAGGCAAGGATTCTGGGGCTTCGTCTGACATACTTTGGACACGTTGCCAGGAGGGACGGGTCCTTGGAGAGGGACATCATGCTTGGGAGGGTGGAGGGACAGCACAGGAGGGGAAGACCCTCTATGAGATGGATTGATTCGGTGACTGGGGTAATCGGGATGCGTGTGTCAGAGGCAGTGAGGTTGGTGCAGGATAGAGCAGGGTTTAGGGCTGTTGTATATAGGGTCGCTATGAGTCGCAAATGACTCGACGGCACATAACAACAACAACAACTTTATCTTTTTTTCTAGCTTCTGACTTTTCTTCAATGAGCATTTGAAACTTATGTAATAAAAAAAAGATGACTCACAATCTCTTAAAATCCTCCAATCTTTCCCAAATAGTACCTAAGCACTTTCAATAATAATGATGATTTTGCCTATCTCTAATCATATCTCATCTTATACTCAATATTTCCTAATTCTCCATACAAATCGTTACTACCTCAAAAATATCTCACCTTATCCAGCAAATTAGGAGACATTCAACTATTAGTGGTTCCATGGTTATTAGGCACCTTTTAATACCAATAGATTTCTAAATATGCTGTTTCAAATGTTCTTGTGTCTAAACTTCTAGTCATCCTTCAAAACCTCAGGCGTCACTGCCACTAGGAAGCCCTTCCTGATAATGACTTCCCACAGAAGAGTCAATCTCCTCCTTTATAAACCATTGGATCTTTGTGTATTTATCTTATACAGTCATATGTGGGATTTCCCTGATAGAGACAAGCACCGTGCCAGGAACACGGCTCCTGGTACATCCCGGTGTCCTAAAACATGTTGTTGTTGTTGTTGTTGTTGTTGTTGTTAGATGCCATCAAGTCGACCACCACTCATAGTGGTCTTATGAACAACAGATCTGAACCTTATCCTGTCAAGCACCATCACCACAATCTCTGTCATACTCAATCCTATTATGTGTCATTGTGTCAATCTATTTTGTTTCTCTGATCTTCTGTCTTTCCCAGCTTGATATCTCTCTCCAATGGTAGGGTCCTTTTGAGAGTATATCCAAAGTAAATGAGATGAAGTTTCACCATCTTTGTCTTTTTTTAAAATTTTATTTTATTATTTTTTGTGCATGTACC